CCATCCGTCAACACAAGGCGAGCGCCGATCGCCACCGCAGTGAGGGGCCGGTGTACGCACCGGGAGATCGAGTCTGGCTCTCGACTCGAAACCTGCCCCTCCGCCTGCCCTGCCGGAAGCTGGGTCGGCGGTTTGTGGGGCCCTTCAAAGTCCTGAGAAGATTGAACGAGGTGTGTTACAGGTTACAACTACCTATAGAGTATAAAAATATTAACCCCTCGTTCCATGTGTCTCTTCTCAGGCCGGTGGTAGCTGGCCCACTCCAAGAGGAGGAGATAGGAGAGACCCCTCCGCCCCCTTGGGACATCGAGGGGGCTCCGGCGTACAGGGTCCGGACCATCTTGGACTCCAGGCGCCGGAGGAGTGGTCTCCAATATCTCGTGGAGTGGGAGGGGTACGGTCCGGAGGAACGGTGCTGGGTGCCCAGGAGGGACATCCTCGATCCATCCCTCCTGACAGAATTCCATCATGGGCATCCCACGCGCCCGGGTCCGCGTCCTCCTGGCCGTCCCCAAGGCCGGGGTCGGCGCACGGCTGGAGCCGCGCGTCAAGGGGGGGGTACTGTCACGGTTTCGGCCGAGACTGCTCCTCCTCCTGGTTCGGGCAGGCAAAGGCGTTCGCCGTCCCCGGAGTACTAGCTGCCATCGTTGGACTATTTCCATGTGCGATTGCTTTTGTCTGTCTTTAGCACCTGTGTCTGATTTGTGATTATTACGTGTCCTATAAGTTCCCTGTGTTTGTTTGGATTAGTTGTGTGTTGTTGTTCGCCTGTCTTGTGTTGCGTGTTTTCGTTTCTTGTTTTGTTATTTAGTGTTTTACGCATGTGCGTAAATACTCGCCTCTTTTTGTTTGAGGTCGTTAGTTTACCGTGTCCTTTTGGAATTTTGAGTAAACTCTGTTGGACTGAGCCTCGGTGTCCTGCGCCTGACTTCCACCACACATACACCTCACCACATGACAGTTCCGTTGTTCAGAGGAAGAGAAAATCTATTATTTGTCTGGATAGGCCAGAAAATGTGACACGTCACCCCCTATTTAAATGTGGGGTCTGAAACCTGACACTTCAAGTCAGCTCCGCTGAGAGAGTAGTAGCGGAGAACAGACAGATGGGGCTTTCTGGCACTATAAGGCACGGGACCCTACGACGTTCACAGGGCGCTTTGTACACCAAAATGTCAGTCGGAACCGGTGCAGAACCACTCAAAGTCCCTCATACAGTGGACTTAACATCTAAGAGAAAAAGGTCATTTACCAACATTTCTGAAAATGTATATGTAGCGTTTTGGAATGAAACTCTTCATATATAGTTCAATATGTAAAGATCTATTGAAAAGCAAAATCCTTGTGTAAACAAACACACACATCCTACCATGCGCACACACGCAAACACACACACACACAAACATCAGAAGAGTAATGCTCTGATGTCAAACGACATTTCACTTCTCGCCTGTCCCTGAAAATGTGAAAACATGGACCCATTTGTTGCGTCTGCATCAAAGCTCAAGTCATGTTTTTCTTATTTCCTTCTCACTCCCTTGACAGTAAATGCAGCACAGGCAGAGAGAGCGAGAGCGAGGAAGAGAGAGAGAGAGGAAGAGAGAGAGGAAGAGAGAGTGTCTTCGCTGTGAATAGGGAGAGTGAGTGGCATGCAGGGACAGCCCCTCTGTCTCTCAAAGACACTGCAGCAGCTGCACACATACGATAAGAGCAGCCATTCACAGCCTACACCCCCCTCCCCTCCACCTCCCTGCAAACACACACACACCTCTCTCTGCTATCAGCCTGCTGCAGTTCCCATGCAGATGTCGAGATTGCGGGACGCCCTTGTCGCCAGTCAAATGTCGGTCTTATGGATCACCTAATGTTGACGTCACCATCATCAACAGTAAAGTTAAACATGGGCAAAACTGAGGGATGGAGGTAGAGATGAGGAGGAGGGAGGAATAGCCTTCCCCTCTTTTTTTACTGACAGAGAGTAATAGCGCGGTGCTAAGGAGATTTGTTTCTCTCTGGCTGAGACTGACGCTCGCCTCGTTGTGTGTTTGTCACCGTCATCTCTAGCTCCAGTACAACACAATTTTTTCTGCCTTACTTCTCCTTGCTGTCTTGCTGCTGCTGCTCTTACATTATGGTTCAACACTGCTTATATGCTGGAAGTACAACCCCAAAAAAACAGTAAAGCCTCAAAAGACCAGACAGAAATCATGACTAGAAAATGACTATTTAAAGAAAGGCCTAAATACATCTCTTACAAAAAAAGGGTTCCAAAAGGGTTATTCGGCTGTCCCCATAGGATAACCCTTTTTGGTTCCAGGTAGAACCCTTTTTGGTTCCAGGTAGAACCCTTTTTGGTTCCAGGTAGAAATCTTTTGGGTTCCATGTAGAACCCTCTGTGGAAAGGCTTCTACCTGGAACCAAACAGGTTCTACCTGGAATCAAAAGGGGTTCTTCAAAGGGTTCTCCTGTGGGCACAGCCAAAGAACCCTTTTTGGTTCTAGATAACACCTTTTTTTCTAAGAGTGTATGTTTTCGAAACAATTTTGTTTGTCTTGGGATTTGTTCTATGGTGCCCTTATGCTGGTTAGCAACACCTGTTCAGACGGAGAGAGACAGAGTCATAAGTCTTCATCTCGTTCCTGAGCTTATGAGCCCTATCATGACAGATACACTGAGCAACATTACTGTCTGTCTCTGCAACCTGACTGTGATGTATAGGCAAAGAAAAGGCCTTGTGGGATGAACATGGTTCATATGTACCTTGTCTTGTCACGTGTGTGGCTCGCCACAAAACAAGAGGGACCCAGAGAGACACTAGTATAGTTCAAGTCATCGGAAACGCCACCATCCTAATGTCACAAAAACACACATTCTCCACTCTCTTCCCTTTGACCCACTGATAAATCAGGGCCTCCAAAACATCCAGTCCACAGAAATAAATGTTAATTAATGTGTGGCTCCTTCCATGATTAGCTCATGTTGCGTTTATTGCTAATCTGTATCTTGGACGGTGGCCACGTATGACTGGCAGGGGGAGGGTTGCTGAGGAGTATTTTTGTAATACTCCTCAGTATTTTTGTTTTTGCTTAATCTGATTGGGTGGTTCTGGCAGGGCATGTCTCCCCAGTGCCTACAGCCCTGGCATCAACACTACCACCACTACCAACACCAAGATACATGTGCCAAATTACAGCAGCACCTAGGAGCCTTTGCTCAGTGTAAATATTAAGCTGCGCTTAGTCCCCCCTCCCTCACATCGGCTCGCAGCTCTAATCGTTCCCAGCCCCTAGAGTTTAATAAGGAACAAATTGTGGTTATTCGTGAGCAAACAGCCACAGTGCGGAGGTGGGAGTTTGATCAGTGCAGGGAAGAAGGTGGTGGTGGTGTTGATGGTGGGGGAGAGAAGGGAATTAATATCTCTGACTTTCTGGGTCTGGGAGTGGAGCAGGGGAAGGATGATAAAATCTAGACTGTTAGAATCTAGCTAACCACATATGGATCTGAATTACATTATTTATCAACACTCACAAATGCTCACTGAGGGTCTACAACAGTATTAGGATCTTCATAGGATCTTTAAAACATTTCACAATCTAATAGAAGTGCTTGGATGATAAAATAAGGGGGACATTTTGGCTTCCCCTCCTCTCTCCTCCCTTACCCCCTTACCCCCATGCTTATCATGCTGTGTGCACACCTCCCTGCGCACAAATGCATCTCTCTCGTCATGTTCTCATAATGCTTTGTGGCAGCCGCAGTCTGATTCATGCGCACAGGTATTGATTTTCCTCCCTCTCTTTTCTTCTGTGTATCCCTTCATATCTCCCTTTATTTCTCCCGCTAAGCCCCCTGCCACTGGGCGTGGGGGGAGAACCAGCTGGGAGCCTGTGAGAGGAGGACAAGAACGCTGGCTACACTAGAAACACTCTCTCCCTCGCTCGCTATACAGCACACCATTTATTTTTTATTTATCTCCTTTATTTTAGCAAGGAGTGCTCGGCTGCAGAGTACATTCAACCTTAATTCGAGCCTTGTCTGTGTCTGTGTCTGCGGTCCGTACATCTGTACAATCACTCAATCCTCCACAGGCCGCCTGACCCATTTTATGTGTGTATAACAATACTCCAGCCAGTCATTGAGAGAAGGAATGACAAGCGCTCAAAAAATACTCTTCATCCAGCCTGTCACACGTCAGAGTCCAAACCCTGCATGTCGACAGAGAGAGAGAGAGAAAAAGAGGGAGGCAGAGGGAGAGAGAGGAAAAGAGGGAGGCAGAGGGAGAGAGAGGAAAAGAGGGAGGCAGAGGGAGAGAGAGGAAAAGAGGGAGGCAGAGGGAGAGAGAGGAAGGAGGAGAGAAACACTCACCTCACTCCACCTTCCTCCTCCAACATGGCTAGGGCTCCCAGAAACACGACCATGTTAGTCATTCTCCCTCTCTTCTTCCTCCTCCTCCTTCCTTCCTTCCTTCCTTCCTTCCTTCCTTCCTTCCTTCCTTCCTTCCCTCCCCTCCCTCTTTTCTCTCGCTCTGTCTCCAGCACACAGGGACCAGTAAAACCATTATCCCTCCTCCGCCCCAGCCCCAGCCCCCTTCTCAAGGCTATGCAGCATTCACCAATGCCTATGCTGCTTCCATACTGGGCAAAACCGACAGCGAGCGTACTATATTGTATGAACTCTACCCTATACATTCAACACACCATGACACCTGATTATGAGAAATGATTCCCTCCCATTTTATTTTCTCCTCACCCAGGGTCTACAATAAGGCAACATCAATACAGCTACAAATGCTGATTTTATACTTAACTGTTGAATAGCTACAAAGACTACAAACCTGAGCTTTATACTCATTTACATTCATGTATGACATAGAATATTCAATGGTGTTGCTCCAACGCATTACAAAATGCGGATAGTAATACTGATATTATATATATTTATATTGTATATATTGTGTGGTGACATCATGGCCCCAGTGACAGAGCGGACTGTTTACACACCGGCTGCCATGTTCCCTGTGGTGTCTTCACTGTGTCCATGGTGACATACAGACCAGTAACAATACACCAGGGTGAAACAAATGCTACAACATGATTCCCCTGAGAGAGAGAGAGAGAGAGAGAGAGAGAGAGAGAGAGAGAGAGGAGAGAGAGAGAGAGAGAGAGAGAGAGAGAGAGAGAGAGAGAGAGAGTGGGGGAGAGCTGGCATGATGAGGAAACAGAGGAGAAAGAGGAAAACACCAGCCCATGAGCACATGATGATAACGGCCTGGCTTTTGATAAAACTCTTGATATTTACTTCAAAGCTACATTACACACAGCCAATTAAGCACCATGGTGTGGTTGGCTTGTCTCCCACACAGCAACCAGCAGCCAGGTGACACACGACTGACAAGCTGGACGCTTAACGACTTGAAAATGTCAACTAAGCATGAGCAATAAACTATGAAATACAACAGATAGATAGGCAACAGTGTCGAACTCCCAACCAGAAGAAGACATCAGGGAAGCTTGCATGAATACCAATAAGACAGGAATAAGAACAACATGAATAGTGTGTTGTTTCTGAACACCATTATATCACATAGTGTGTGAACTGATCAGGTGTAATACATACAGTCAGACACCCTGTATATACTGATAGTATCAGGATGCTACTAAGACAACTGAGGGTAGATTTTGAATATTGATTGGATGACTTCCCATGTCATTATGTATCTTATCACTTTGCAGTACAGTACAAGGACAGAGAGATTGACTGTGGCGTGAGAGGTAAAGAGAGAGAGAGAGAGAGATGGGAGGGTGGAGCAGAAAAGGGCTATGTACTGTGATGGCCGATGGCCCTGGTGTGTGGCTTGTGTGTGGAATGAGAAAGAGTGTGTAGAGCGTGTGTGTGTGTGTGCCTCTCTGCAGTGCTGGGGTCCGGCCCCACTCATGCTGAATGCAGTGGAGGCCAGATCAGGCCACGGCAAATCACTACAAGGCCTTCTTCAGTGACTGCAGCACAGCCCAGCCCTCAGCCTGCACCTGGGGAATGGAGCAACACTGCTAGGGCTGTGTCTCTCTCTGTGAGGCAACAGCAGCAGAATCAGCAACACAACACGACACAAACAAATCCAATAAGAACACTATTTTTGGTATTGATGGAGAATAATTGTTGGGGTTGGTTTTATCAATAGAATGTCAATCAATAAAATATCAACAGAATTTAGAGTTTACTTCTGCATGAAACAAAAACGGTTTTGTCAGAGGCTATCAATGCAACAAAAATGGTTTCTTGCAATATGAGAAGCTCTTTTGAGGTTTCAGTTGAATTAGACCCTCAGTATCATCAGCATTGTAGATACAGGAAGAGCTTGCCACCAGTATCCCTTTCATTAATTGGTACTGATACTGACCTTGTATATAGTGTATATTATCGTGTGTATTTCTTTTATTATTCTCATGAGTACTCTACAGAGGGTGTACTTATTTGATTATTGTGTGCATTTCTTTTATAGGACTGCATTGTTGAGGAAGAGATTGCAAGCAAGCATTTCACTGTACTGATTATACCTGCTGTGACAAATAAACTTGATTTGGTACTATTGGACATATCTCATAATATCCCCTTGTCTAAGTCCGACTCACAAACAGTAAAGGTAAGAAGAATGAATGCATGATGAGATTCATAAAATGGTTCTCAGAAGGACCAAATCTATAAGACAGTTGTGGATGGAAGGTACTTAGAACCCTTCACTATTGGAATGAAAACATTCAAGAACAATACATAACAGGATTGATCCTGCATTCTGCTATAGCAGCCAACCAGCCACACCGCAGAGCAGAGAAAATATACATGTGTGGGTGTCATTGCTTTATCCTCACCTATATCTTCACTCATATCTTAGTGAGAATCAGATGCTTATCAGAGGAGAGCATGTAGCTATAGACACAAATTAATAGGATATGAGCCTTATTTTCCCCTCTTCAAATCATTGCTATAATTCCTGCCACACAATCATCACTTTACCATTTTGTCTTTCCATCTAAAATGATGTTACCATATTGTTTGTGTTTTGAACCATGTCATGAAAAAAGGTTCAGTATAATGATGCATCATCTATTAGATTCATCAGTGGTCCTCAACTCTGAGCCTGGAGAACTACAGTATATGGTGTGCAGCTTTTTGTTCCAGCCCTGCATTAACCATCTGGTTTAACTAGTCAAGGTCCTGATAAGCAGTACATTGTTTCAATCAGTTGTGTACTGTAAGACAGTGCTGGGCTGCAACAAAAGCCTGCACACCCAGTAGCTCACCAGTACCAAAAATCTAATCAAATCTAATTTTATTTGTCACATGCGCCTAATACAACTTGCTTACGAGCCCTTCCCAACAATGCAGCGTTTAATAATAAAAATAGCAACACAAGAGGAATAAAATAAAATACACAAGAATGGCGCTTTATACAGGGAGTACCAGTACCAGATCAATGTGCAGAGGTACGAGGTACTTGAGGTAGATATGTACATGAAGGCAGGTAAAGTGACTAGGCATCAGGATGGACAATAATAAGAGCCAAATAAAGAACAGAGCAGCCAGGGTTGACCTACGACCACTGACATAGACAATGCACTTTACTGCAATGCAACTCCTACCCACTGTCTTCTTAAATGTGTGTATTTTTCACAGTCATTAGCCCGTCTTTCCATGCATGCAGACACTGGAGCTCTTTGAGTGGTGCATCGTTAGGTTCTGCAAAGCAACCTAGCCTAAAGTGGGCCTAACCCCAGTGAGACTTACAGAGGGACGGTTGAGAGCTTCAAGTTCCTTGGTGTCCACATCACCAACAAACTATCATGGTCCAAACACACCAAGACAGTTGTGAAGAGGGCATGACAAAGCCTATTCCCCCTCAGGAGACTGAAAAGATTTGGCATGGGTCCTCAGATCCTCAAAAAGTTCTACAGCTGCACCATCGAGAGCATCCTGACTGGTTGCATCACCGCCTGGTATGGCAACTGCTCGGCCTCCGACCGCAAGGCACTACAGAGGGTAGTGCGTACGGCCCAGTACATCACTGGGGCCAAGCTTCCTGCCATCCAGGACCTCTATACCAGGCGGTGTCAGAGGAAAGCCCTCAAAATTGTCAAAGACTCCAGCCACCCTAGTCGTAGACTGTTCTCTCTGCTACCGCACGGCAAGCGGTACCGGAGCACCAAGTCTAGGTCCAAAAGGCTTCTCAACAGCTTCTACCCCCAAGCCATAAGACTCCTGAACAGCTAATCATGGCTACCCGGACTATTTGCACTGCCCCCCCACCCCCATCCCATCTTTTTACGCTGCTGCTACTCTGTTAATTATTTATGCATAGTCACTTTAACTCTACCCACATGTACATATTACCTCAACTACCTCAACTACCTCAACTAGCCGGTGCCCCTGCACATTGACTCTGCACCGGTACCCCCCCAGTATATGAAACATGTATGAAAAATGTATGCACTCACTAACTGTAAGTCGCTCTGGATAAGAGCGTCTGCTAAATGACTAAAATGTAAAATGTAAAATGTATACTGTATGTATGTATCCCTACTGTTATTTTATTTTACTTCTGCTCTTTTTTTCTCAACACTTTTTTGTTGTTGTTGTTGTTGTTTTATTTTACTTTTTTATAAAAAAATAAATGCATTGTTGGTTAAGGGCTGTAAGTAAGCATTTCACGGTAATGTCTACACCTGTTGTATTAGGCGCATGTGGCAAATACAATTTGATTTGATTTGATTTGATAAAGGGGGCTTGCTAATCCATTTATGGACAATTAAGAGATTGATATAGATTTCAACATGGTTGCTTTCACCTCAGTGGACAAATTGTAAAACGTCAACAAAAAATAAATCACTGCATTTGCCCTCCGTTCAAAAGCCAAAACAACATTAGCTTTGTCTATTGAGTTTGTTAAATGCCCAACATAAAGTGAATATGCCCCCGGGGGCTAGGAAACAATCGAGTAGACGAGCGACGCAGACCGTGCAATGGCTCCCATCACCAGAGAACTGGGTCAATAGCACTGAGGCTAAGTGACACCACAGGGCTGCCATGCCCTCCTCCCTGCTCTCGTGGAAGACTCTCGTCCAGCCTGGGTCAGCAGGGAAATAGGGACACTCTGTCATGGGGTCCGACAGACGTGGACACACAACACAACATAATGGGTTGGTTGCATGGCTGGAACAGGGACAAGGGGCAGGGGCGCTAATCTACTAGTCTAGTCTGACCTCAAAAGGCCTTGCAGACAGACGGGGCAAAGCACATCCACACATCCACACATCCCTGGGGTCAAAACACTTAGCTATCTCAGACCTATGGCCTTCTTTTCTTGCAGTGTGATACTCATTTACCAGACTGGTTTTGTCAAGGTTTTTTACATAACATGTTCTCTATATACATTACAGTAGTGATTAGAGAGCAGAGACTTACTCTGGACGTTGATTGACACTGTGTCTTTCTCCCAGGACACAACAGTGATGTAGGCCTCCACCGAGGCTGGGATAATGCACTTGAACACCGCCACATTGCCTCTCATGGCTTTCTGGTCCTCCACACGGACCGTGTAGGGCTCTCGTAGAACTGGAAGAGATGGGGGAAACAAGAAATGAGTGTCCTCAATGAATTTACTTTCATTTTTTCTGTTCTGGCAAATTATATGCTGTCTATATATTTTGTTTCTTTACTTTCTTCACTGCTTTGCTCACAAGCGTAACAAATGTGACATCCCTGTCTAAACATCACCAGCTGAAATGTTTAGCTGGTGGTCACTAGTCACCCAAGTGGTATACTATACCCCATTTAGTGACCAACAAGCTTATGTTCAACATATCCACACTGTCTGCAGCCCTAATTCCCACCTCTGTAATCAACTGTCCATTTCCTTACCCACACTGACCACTGACCACTATACTGTAGGGCTGGGAACGGCCAGGGACCTCACAATACAATATTATCACGATACTTAGGTGCCCTTACGATATGTATCACGATTCTATATGTATTGTGATTCGATTCTGTGATTTTATTGCGATTTGATGTTCCTAACAGAGACAAGAGAGAGCCATAACAAAACAAGTTTTGATCAGTCATGGAAATAAAACTGCTGAAAACATGTTGGCTCACCATGTAAAATGAAGATGGAGAACAAGCTATAGAAGGAGAAATACTGGAGTTTTGGCGCAGGGACCGCAGACTAGCGCTAGCTAACGTTAACTACCTAGCAATGATCTTTTAAATAATAATAATAATTCTCCCATCACTGCTACTGTATGCATAAACCAAGCAGATGGACAACTCACCAGCCTTAATATGGACATCTTGGCTCCTGATTTTCCCTGAAGGGTTCTCCGCTGTGCAATAGTAGGTGTTGTCGTGGATGAGGTTGCTGAAGCTGGAGGGGTTGAAGTGGAAGATCTGGAGGGTGCCATTGGGGTGCACGTGGCGGATCCCGGGGACATCGTAGATCTCCTCTCCGGTGGCCAGGTACCAGCGCAGCGAGGCGGGGGGCACGCCTACGGCGGGACAGGGCACCGAGGTCCCTGTGGTGCTGGCAAACACTACCTCTTGCACAGATGCATTGACAAAATATAAGCTGGAACGTAGATCTTCACTGAAAACTGCAAGGAAAACAGAGCAGAGGAGGGAATGTTAGTCATTGGTAGCGTTTAGGTTTTCTGCTGCCCAGCTTCTCAACCAACGTTCAGCCTTTAGCCACCTTTGATTTTGACCAATATATCCCTGATCCTGATCAACGTGAAGAAAAAACACTGAGCATTTTTACGTTTTTGTAGACGATTTTTCAGGAATGTATTCTCTATCCCCTTATTTGGGGGGTATTTTTATGGGGGTTGTTTAACAATGTAACATTCTGAGTATCAGAAAAAAAAACTGAAACTAACAAAGAACAACCGATGAATGGCCAGAAGTACCAGTCTCCATCTTAGCAATGGAGGCCATTTTGCAATATTTCTAAACTAAAACATCTGAATGCCTTGTCAGTAGAGCTTTTAAATCACGCTTTTGTTTTGGAATAGACAGAGCTCTACTATGCATTTATCGCTAAGATTTCTTATGTTGTAATTCACTTTGAGTCTGTGGTGCTGTAATGGTTTTGTGCTCTGACTGCATGGCCAAAGTGCTATTTTCAACTGCAGTGAGGAGGAATGGAGAAAGGAGAGTTGTTCAGTATTAAGAGGCATTTCAGAGGAGCCGAGGGAGAGGAGTGGAACTGGGAGGGCCAGCATAGCACCAGACCTGATTACAAACACAGTGCATGATGGGAAACTGCGGCTGGAGGGCTGCTGGTGGAGGGCTGAGCCACGACCCCCCTAAGAAACGTGGCGTGTGTGCGGGTGGATGCTGCTACTCCACCCCTTCCCCCTTCCCCCCCAACCCAATACTGCACCAATCCTTTATGAGCTGGTATGGTGTGCTGCGTAGGCATGCACCAAGGCTTCTGGGAAATCAAAGATACTAGGCAAGCACTCCATGTCACCTAGTGTGTCTGCCTTATTGTTAACATGGGCTTTGGGGTGAGTCCTCCTAAATACATTATCTGCTTCTTATATGGCCGTCATTTAGTTAGATGGATTATTATTGGATATGAAACAAACTGTTGAGAACGATACCAAAATTGTATTTTTTTCTTAATAGCAAATAGATTGGAATTGCTGTTGTGTGTTTGTCATCTCATCACAGTTTGTAGCGACTTAATTAGGTAACAAATATTTTTCCAGAGTATTCCCACAACCTGTCTTGTCATTGTAGAAAGCCTACCTGTTGGTGTGTGATCCTACACTCCCTGGCCTGTCACTACCCAACCTGCTTCACTCCCTACCCTGTCGCTACCTGCCTGCCTCATTCCCTGCCCTGTCTCTACCCAGCCTGCCTCATTCCCTGCCCTGTCTCTACCCAGCCTGCCTCATTCCCTGCCCTGTCTCTACCCAGCCTGCCTCATTCCCTGCCCTGTCTCTACCCAGCCTGCCTCATTCCCTGCCCTGTCGCTACCTGCCTGCCTCATTCCCTGCCCTGTCTCTACCCAGCCTGCCTCATTCCCTGCCCTGTCTCTACCCAGCCTGCCTCATTCCCTGCCCTGTCGCTACCCAGCCTGCCTCATTCCCTGCCCTGTCTCTACCCAGCCTGCCTCATTCCCTGCCCTGTCTCTACCCAGCCTGCCTCATTCCCTGCCCTGTCTCTACCCAGCCTGCCTCATTCCCTGCCCTGTCTCTACCCAGCCTGCCTCATTCCCTGCCCTGTCTCTACCCAGCCTGCCTCATTCCCTGCCCTGTCGCTACCCAGCCTGCCTCATTCCCTGCCCTGTCTCTACCCAGCCTGCCTCATTCCCTGCCCTGTCTCTACCCAGCCTGCCTCATTCCCTGCCCTGTCTCTACCCAGCCTGCCTCATTCCCTGCCCTGTCGCTACCCAGCCTGCCTCATTCCCTGCCCTGTCTCTACCCAGCCTGCCTCATTACCTGTCCTGTCTCTACCCAGCCTGCCTCATTCCCTGCCCTGTCTCTACCCAGCCTGCCTCATTCCCTGCCCTGTCTCTACCCAGCCTACCTACATGCCTGCCTGTGCTGCCAATCCCCCTCCTCTGGGAACAAACATTTGAGTGCTTCATCAATTCCTAACAAGGGCTCCAACCACCACAACCTGCTTCCACCTAGTCTGGTATAGCATATACAAATACTTGCATAATATTCATGTTTGTTGTGCAGATATTGCATTTAAACACTCACTTCACACATACCTAAATGCACAGGATTTCCTTTATATACACATAGTCACAGAACTATTTGTACCTCAAACCTACAGACATGGGGGAGCTCAAGATTGGATGGCAGGTGTTGTTTTAGTTTCTTACCAAAATTATATGATCATGAACTGTATTGAGACTTCCATAAGCATTGAATAGCGAAGGGAAATGCAAGAGTGCTCCATCCTTATGGACGTCTAGCACTGCACCATATTGATCGGCTAACAGGAAACCGTGAGACCCCAACATTAACAGTTCAATAGATTGGCTGTTTGGGAGCACACACACACAACCAAGTATCACATGGCTGATTGATGAGTGGTCTGAATAGCATGGTGTAGTAACTGCATGCTCCACAACACAGCCATGGACCAGAGCGGCCGGCGGCACACCAATTTTGCCCCTGTATCAGTCCTGAAGTCAGTGTGTGTATGTGTGTGCATGTGTTCATGTGTGTGTGTGTGCGTGTGTGTGTCAATAAGTGCATCGATGATGTCGTCCCCACAGTGACCGTACGTACATACCCCAACCAGAAGCCATGGATTACAGGAAACATCCGCACTGAGCTAAAGGGTAGAGCTGCCGCTTTCAAGGAATGGGACTCTAACCCGGACGCTTATAAGAAATCCCGCTATGCCCTCCGACGAACCATCAAAAAGGCAAAGAGTCAATACAGGACTAAGATTGAATCGTACTACACTGGCTCTGACGCTCGTCGGATGTGGCAGGGCTTGAAAACTATTACAGACTACAAAGGGAAGCACAGCCGCGAGCTGCCCAGTGACACAAGCCTACCAGACGAGCTAAACCACTTCTATGCTCGCTTCGAGGCAAGCAACACTGAAGCATGCATGAGAGCACCAGCTGTTCCGGATGACTATGTGATCACGCTCTCCGTAGCCAATGTGAGTAAGACTTTTAAGCAGGTCAACATTCACAAGGCCGCAGGGCCAGATGGATTACCAGGACGTGTACTCCGAGCATGTGCTGACCAACTGGCAAGTGTCTTCACTGACATTTTCAACATGTCCCTGACTGAGTCTGTAATACCAACATGTTTCAAGCAGACCAACATAGTCCCCGTGCCCAAGGACACTAAGATAACCTTAGACCCACTCCAATTTGCATACCGCCCCAACAGATCCACAGATGATGCAATCTCTATTGCACTCCACACTGCCCTTTCCCACCTGGACAAGAGGAACACCTATGTGAGAATGCTATTCATTGACTACAGCTCAGCTTCAACACCATAGTGCCCTCTAAGCTCATCACTAAGCTAAGGATCCTGGGACTAAACACCTCCCTCTGCAACTGGATCCTGGACTTCCTGACGGGCCGCCCCCAGGTGGTAAGGGTAGGTAACAACACATCTGCCACACTGATCCTCAACACGGGGGCCCCTCAGGGGTGCGTGCTCAGTCCCCTCCTGTACTCTCTGTTCACCCATGACTGCATGGCCAGGCACGACTCCAACACCATCATTAAGTTTGCCGATGACAAAACAGTGGTAGGCCTGATCACCGACAACGATGAGACAGCCTATAGGGAGGAGGTCAGAGACCTGGCCGTGTGGTGCCAGGACAACAACCTCTCCCTCAACGTGACCAAGACAAAGGAGATGATTGTGGACTACAGGAAAAAAAAGAGGACTGAGCACGCCCCCATTCTCATCGACGGGGCTGTAGTGGAACAGGTTGAGAGCTTCAAGTTCCTTGGTGTCCACATCACCAACAAACTATCATGGTCCAAACACACCAAGACAGTCGTGAAGAGGGCATGACAAAGCCTATTCCCCCTCAGGAGACTGAAAAGATTTGGCATGGGTCCTCAGATCCTCAAAAAATTCTACAGCTGCACCATCGAGAGCATCCTGACTGGTTGCATCACCGCCTGGTATGGCAACTGCTTGGCCTCCGACCACAAGGCACTACAGAGGGTAGTGCGTATGGCCCAGTACATCACTGGGGCCAAGCTTCCTGCCATCCAGGACCTCTATACCAGGCGGTGTCAGAGGAAGGCCCTCAAAATTGTCAAAGACTCCAGCCACCCTAGTCATAGACTGTTCTCTCTGCTACCGCACGGCAAGCGGTACCGGAGTGCCAAGTCTAGGTCCAAAAGACTTCTCAACAGCTTCTACCCCCAAGCCATAAGACTCCTGAACAGCTAATCATGGCTACCCGGACTATTTGCACTGCCCCCCCACCCCATTCTTTTTACGCTGCTGCTACTCTGTTAATTATTTATGCATAGTCACTTTAACTCTACCCACATGTACATATTACTTCAACTACCTCAACTAGCCGGTGCCCCCGCACATTGACTCTGCTCCGGTACCCCCCTGTATATATAGCCTCCCTACTGTTATTTTATTTTACTTCTGCTCTTTTTTTCTCAACACTTTTTTTGTTGTTGTTTTATTTTTACTTTTTTTGTTATAAATAAATGCACTGTTGGTTAAGGGCTGTAAGTAAGCATTTCACTGTAATGTCTGCACCTGTTGTATTCGGCGCATGTGACCAATACAATTTGATTTGATTTGTGTGTGTGTGTGTGTGTGTGTGTGTGTGTGTGTGTGTGTGTGTGTGTGTGTGTGTGTGTGTGTGTGTGTGTGTGTGTGTGTGTGTGTGTGTGTGTGTGCGTGTGTGAGTGAGTGTGAGTGAGTGTGTGTCCTCGCTGTATTTACCACTGTGTTTAACACACAGATCAATAGCTCTCAGACCAGCTAGGCAGCTGCAGGTGGCTCATCAAAGCATTAATACATGCTAAGAGTTAGCCTGAAGCTCTCATAAATATAAATACAACCAGCTCCATCGTCAGCCATTACAGAGGGAATGGATGGACAATGGCTGGATCCCTCTTAGCAGAGACAGTCAGAATACATACAGGTCACATAAGGTGTATAGCTCTTGTTTGGAGAATAGGGCCAGCCTCCTCTGTTGTACTTTGCAGGTTCTAAATGCAAACAAAGAGCCATCAAAGCTGAGCTCTGAGTGTGTTTGAAAGGCGAAAAACAAAGAAAGGCTGACCTTTTTACATTCTCATAAAAAATTTAGCCCCCGTTTCTGGACGGCTGATTCCTTAAAACAGTGAAGCCGTGACGGACGCATGCAGGCGCTGCCAGAGCCCAGAGCCCAATGTAGGAGATACTTTAGAGATTTTTTTTTTTTTTTTTTTTTCAGAGTATTGTCAAGGAAAACAGTGAGGTAAAGTGAGGAGAGAGAGAGAGACTGAAAGCACTCAGACAATAAGATACAGGCAGTTATTAGCAGAGAGAGAACGAGAGAGAAAGAGAGAAAGTGAAAAAGGCCACTAGGGATGTTAGAGGCATTCTCCCATTCTCGCTGTCTCTGCAGCTCTTCAGTGCTCTCTCCAGAAAATGCACACTCCTCCTTTTTTCCTCTTCATTCTGTCTCTCTCTGTCTTTCTCTCGCTTTCGCTCTCCCTTTCCTCTCCATCCCACTCTCTCTCCTCTCCTCCCCTCCTTTCTCTCTCCCTCTCCCTCACCTCCCCTCTTTCTCCCTTTCCTCACCTCTCAGTTCCTCGGTAACCTTCAGCTCTCCTTCATGGTCACCTGACCCTGTCTCTCGCATCCAGGCTTGCTCAGCCTGTACAGAGCAGGGGGACGCAGGTGCCGGAAAACAAACAACAAATAACAAGACAGTGCATCTCTCTCACACAAAGTGTAGAGTACACATTACGTCCTGGCCGAAATGACCATTTATTATCTTCTCCTGGACCTCCATGAATGCCCACACTGACTCACAGCCCAAATGACTGGAGTTAGACAGTGGATAACATGAGATACATACAATACATGCTATGTGATAGATACAGTCTGAGGACTTGTATGTACTGCAATGCTCATTGACCAAGACAAATGTATCTAAATGAACAAAATATAGCCTAACTTTGTTACCTATTGCCATGTTCAAGTTCAAGTAATCTTTATTGTACCAATTGAGAAAGTTGTTGTGCAGTCAGGGTTCAACAATAAAAACAGTTACAACCATACAACCGATATACACATAACATGAAACAATGAGATTGATAAAAAGGAGCAAACATTGTGCAGCAATAAAAATACATTTCATTTCATGTGCAGATTCAGAAAGTTTATGGCCTATGGGATAAAATAGTTATTGTATCTGTTGCTATTGAGTTAGGGAAGTCTAAAACGATGACCTGAGGGGAGAAGCGCAAAATGGTCAAGGAGGGGTTAATCAGGACAGTCTAGGATACTGTTAGCTCTCCTCACCACTTACTTTCTGAATGTCACTGAGAGCAGTGACTGTTGCACCCCGTTATCACCACTTTATGCCGTGCTGTAATGTAAAATACTACCACAACCTCACACATCATAAAATACTTAGCTGTCTCTTATGACCAAGCCATCTTCAGCTGTCTTATTAACTGAATGACCTAGTCAAACTGAGCTAAATCAACAGACTGTTAACACTAAAAACGACCATGTGTGTGTGGGTGGTGCTGTCAGTGAACTTGTAGAAGGTGTTTGTGTGAATAATCATCTCATTAACAGCAGTAATAAAACGGTCAGATCACATGAAATAAACATTGCTGCCTGACTGAAGTATAAACAGTTGCTTTACAGAGTATCAGCTCTACTTCTGAGAATCTATTGGTAATACTGAGAGGAGAAAAGCAAGGGAAAGCTCAAAACCAGGCAGAGGGAATCTTAAAAGGACAGATGAAAGATGCATGTCTATCCTATCAATACACATCCATCAGCCTGGGCCAGACTACAGATGTCTGTCTGTCTGTCTGTCTGTCTGTCTGTCTGTCTGTCTGTCTGTCTGTCTGTCTGTCTGTCTGTCTGTCTGTCTGTCTGTCTGTCTGTCTGTCTGTCTGTCTGTCTGTATGTATGTATGTATGTATGTATGTCTGTCTGTCTGTCTGTCTGTCTGTCTGTCTGTCTGTCTGTCTGTCTGTCTGTCTGTCTGTCTGTATGCAACACTTTGGTCCACTTTTGGTCTGAAAGGCTACTATAGACCTACTCTATCTCTGCTGATATCTGTTATTTGCAGGCGTTTTGGATCTTATTCATCCATCACAATTAGGCTACGGGATTATATGGGAATGAAGATGTGTGTGATGTGCCTGTGAGCTAGGCCTATTGCCACGTAGGGACATTTTCCTCCATTTCTCCCCACACAAATGGACTGATTGTTTGGTACAAACATTTCTTGCTAACCCTGTGCTATCGTTAATCCCAAACATTATGCCTTACTGTATTAGACCTATCTAAGAGCACAAACCAGGGGCATAGGCACGGGTGGGCCTGGGTCTTTTATAATGGCACCGGAGGGGATGGCTGCCATTTTACAGGCTCCTAACCAACTGTGCTATTTTGAGTGTTTGTAACTTATTTTGTACATAATGTTGCTGCTACTGTCTCTTATGACCGAAAAGAGCTTCTGGATATCAGAACAGCTATTACTCTTTAATGAGTCCGACGTGATGGATATACTGCTTCTATGAGACCAGGCCCAAACCTCTGTCATTCGCGTGAAGAAAATATGGAAATACAGGGGGTGGAGATCGGGGTGCCCTGTGAGAATTAGTTGGCGAGTTGGTAACCCACCTCTACCATCCGTTCTATTGGCCAATGTGCAATCACTGGATAATAAACTGGATGATCTCCGTTTGAGACTATCCTACCAACGGGACATTAAAAACTGTTATGTTTTTAATGTCCCGTTGGGGGACATGAAAAAATATCTTATGTTTCACCGAGTCGTGGCTGAACGACGACACAGATAATATACAGATGGCTGGGTTTTCCATGCATCGGCAGGACAGAACAACTACGTCTGGTAAGATGAGGGGTGGGGGTGTGTGTCTATTTGTCAATAACAGCTGGTGCGCGACGTCTAATATTATGGAAATCTCGAGGTATTGCTGGCCTGAGGTAGAGTACCTCATGATAAGCTGTAGGCCACACTATCTACTATCTACCAACAGATAGTAGCCGTCTATTTACCACCACAAACCGATGCTGGCACTAAGACCGCACTCAACGAGCTGTATAAGGCCATAAGCAAACAAGAAAATGCTCATCCAGAAGCGGCGCTCATAGTGGCCGGGGACTTTAATACAGGAAAACTTAAACCCGTTTTACCTCATTTCTACCAGCATGTCACGTGCAACCAGAGGGAAAAAAAACTCTAGACCACCTTTACTCTACACACAGAGACGCATACAAAGCAATCCCTCGCCCTCCATTTGGCAAATCTGACCATAATTCTATCCTCCTGATTCCTGCTTATAAGCAAAAACTAAAGCAGGAAGTACCAGTGACTCGCTCAATACGGAAGTGGTCAATTGACGCTGATGCTACGCTACAGGACTGTGTTGCTAGCACAGACTGGAATATGTTCTGGGATTTCATCCAATGGCATTGAGGAGTATACCACCTCAGTCACCGGCTTCATCAATAAGTGCATCGACAACATCGTCCCCACAGTGACCGTACGTACATATCCCAACCAGAAGCCATGGATTACAGGCAACATCTGCACCGAGCTAAAGGCTAGAGCTGCCGCTTTCAAGGAGCGAGACACTAATCCGGACGCTTATAAGAAATCCCGCTATGCCCTCAGACGAACCATCAAACAGGCAAAGCGTCAATACAGGACTAAGATTTAATCGTACTACACCGGCTCTGACGCTTGTCGGATGTGGCAGGGCTTGCAAAACTATTACGGACTACAAAGGGAAACCCAGCCGGGAGCTGCCCAGTGACGCGAGCCTACCAGACGAGCAAAATGCCTTTAATGCTTGATTTGAGGCAAGCAACACTGAAGCATGCATGAGAGCACCAGCTGTTCCAGACGACTGTGTGATCACGCTCTCCGTAGCCGATGTGAGCAAGACCTTTAAACTGGTCAACATTCACAAGGCCGCGGGGCCAGACAGATTACCAGGACGTGTACTCAGAGCATGCAAGGACCAACTGACAAGTGTCTTCACTGACATTTTCAACCTCTCCCTGACTGAGTCTCTAATACCTACATGTTTCAAGCAGACCACCATAGTCCCTGTACACAAGAAAGAGAAGGTAACCTGCCTAAATGACTACCACCCCATAGCACTCACGTCGGTAGCCATTAAGTGCTTTGAAAGGCTGGTCATAGTTCACATCAACACCATCATCCCGGAAACCCTAGACCCACTCCAATTCGCACACCGCCCCAACAGATCCACAGATGATGCAATCTCAATCGCACTCCACACTGCCCTTTCCCACCTGGACAAAAGAAACACCTATGTGAGAATGCTGTTCATTGACTACAGCCCAGCGTTCAACACCATAGTGCCCACAAAGCTCATCACTAAGCTAAGGACCCTGGGACTAAACACCTCCCTCTGCAACCGGATCCTGGACTTCCTGACGGGCCGCCCCCAGGTGGTAAGGGTAGGCAACAACACATCTGCCACGCTGATCCTCAACACGGGGGCCCCTCAGGGGTGTGTGCATAGTCCCTTTCTGTACTCCCTGTTCACCCACAACTGCGTGGCCAAGCACGACTCCAACACCATCATAACATTTGCTGACGACACAACAATGGTAGGCCTGATCACCGACAATGACAGCCTATAGGGAGGAGGTCAGTAACCTGGCAGTGTGGTGCCAGGACAACAACCTCTCCCTCAACATGAGCAAGACAAAGGAGATGATCGTGGACTACAGGAAAAGGAGGGCCGAACACGCCCGCATTCATATCGACGGGGCTGTAGTGGAGCGGGTCGAGAGTTTCAAGTTCCTTGGTGTCCACATCACCAACTAACTATCATGGTCCAAACACACCAAGACAGTCGAGAAGAGGGCACGACAACACCTTTTCCCTCTCAGGAGACTGAAAAGATTTGGCATGGGTCCCCAGATCATCAAAAAGTTATACAGCTGCACCATCGAGAGCATCCTGACCGGTTGCATCACTGCCTGGTATGGCAACTGGTTGGCATCCGACCATATGGCGCTACATAGGGTAGTGCATAGGGCCCAGTACATCACTGGGGCCAAGCTTCCTGCCATACTGGACCTATATACAGTGGGGGGAAAAAGTATTTAGTCAGCCACCAATTGTGCAAGTTCTCCCACTTAAAAAGATGAGAGAGGCCTGTAATTTTCATCATAGGTACACGTCAACTATGACAGACAAATTGAGAAAAAGAAATCCAGAAAATCACATTGTAGGATATTTAATGAATTTATTTGAAAATTATAGTGGAAAATAAGTATTTGGTCACCTACAAACAAGCTAGATTTCTGGCTCTCACAGACCTGTAACTTCTTCTTTAAGAGGCTCCTCTGTCCTCCACTCGTTACCTGTATTAATGGCACCTGTTTGAACTTGTTATCAGTATAAAAGACACCTGTCCACAATCTCAAACAGTCACAATCCAAACTCCACTATGGCCAAGACCAAAGAGCTGTCAAAGGACACCAGAAACAAAATTGTAGACCTGCACCAGGCTGGGAAGACTGAATCTGCAATAGGTAAGCAGCTTGGTTTGAAGAAATCAACTGTGGGAGCAATTATTAGGAAATGGAAGACATACAAGACCACTGATAATCTCCCTCGAT